GCCTGAATGCTTCTGAAAAATACTTTTTAAAAATATTCTTGACAAATGATCACAAGTACACTACGTTTGAAATTTGGATTTCTGGAATATCCATGCACCTGGAGAGTGTTCAATTGCCTAGTAAAATCCAGGGAGGAACTCAATGAGAAATTTTTTAAATTCCAGCGAGCCGCGAGCATTCTCTAAATTCGGAGTGCAAAGTGGGGGTGAACATTGTCTCTCTCTACAAATATACGAAGCGCGCGAAAGGACTTCGAACGTGAGATAAAAGTAAATCAAATCGTAACCTTTTCCCCCTATGTGCCCAAGGAACTTCTCTAATTTCTTGAGGACCTTAGAGGCTCGAAAGGATCAAGGATCATTTCCATCGAACGCGAACGTGATTCGTTACTTGACAAAGAGACGATCGAACGCGAGGTCGTCTCGAGGAAGCAATCGAGATTTGATGTTTTCACGATTGTAACACCGCCATCGTTGTCCCCGCCGATATGGGGACATTATTCTTCTCGAAACTCGCTGGTAGAAAAGTGGATGTGCTTGTTGTAAGCACCGTACTACGCGTACGTGTAGACGTGTGGACGGTGGTCGGGTAACCGCGAGGATGTGCAAATTTACATTGAGGAGCCCGGGCGAAGACCTATTACGCTCTTTTCCGCGTGGCTCGGACGCGTTTTCGAGCTGTGCTACGGTACTTGGTGTACATGAGCACACAATGCCGCCGGGATGCGCAAAGAAACGAATGCACGTGTAAACTCGATGTGGCTTGCTCGCTGGAGAAACGTCTCGGGATAGAGAAAAATAAGGGGGTGGGAGGGAAAATGATGAAAGGAGAACGGTACAAAGCGTAGCCGGAATTCGATTGCCTGAAACGCCTGTTCGGGGGTATTGTTGCGTTGAAAAACGACTCGAGTATGTGGTTCGGCGAGACTTTGAATTATTTCAGACACACTGATATCGTGCGCCATTAAGTTAAAGAATTAGATGGTGAGAGGGTCTTTTGTAGGCGGAAGTTGAATTATTGTCTGCGGAGGCTGTCGTAGAATTAGATAGATGGTAATATTGTTCCGCCGTTGTATTTCCCGCGTATTGTTGGATATTTACCGTGTAGCCGAATAAATTAGGTTTATCCACATCTCTGCGAGAAGGACGAAGCTACATTCGTTTTGAACATCGCGCGAGAATACTGGTTTTAGAATTTACTGGACTATTAAAGTATTGAGTTTAGAATTAAACATTATCAAACTGCTGTTTCAAGTTGCTATAGAGAGAGATTATTCTTACAATATAAAGATATATATATATATATTTTTTTTTCTATAAATGAGATTAAAATTGAAATTAAATCGAATAAAACTGTCAATTCTGGGAACAGCGCGTGCAGTATTATCATTTACACCAATTAATAAACGAATTGTTGAAATTGCCAGTCTCGCAGTTATGCACAAAGTTTCATTCGCCATTCAACTGCCACCGAGCCACCACCACGACAAGTTCTCAATGCGGAAATAACATGTTAGTATATTTGTGGTTGCTGCGTCGTAATATCGCTGCAGCTTCGTTAATATCAATGATGCAAGTTAATGGCAAGCAAGATGCAGAAATGGTGGAACACAATGACGGAGGACACTGTTGTTGATTACGAACATCAGAATATTCAAAACTGGCTTATACTTGTAACGTACAAAGATTTGTCGTTCCGAAATTTCGCTAAACGTGTTATGCATGCATCTGTGCATAACATTAGCTTTACATAGTAGATAGGTTTCTAATCATTCTTACAGAGCATCATCTGCAAATTTTCGATCGATCGAAAATAATTTATCAATCAGTGTAAATAATATTAGGTTAAAGAAACAATCCGTAAATCTGTACAATTGAACATTGTTACACCGAATTCATTGTTATCCTCGAAATGAATTCAAATTCTTTTTAATTCACGTTGCTAAAACGGATAAATATAAAAGCCAGAAGAGAGAACTTAATTTATATTTATTGCGACATTCCATCGTTATCCTTGACACGGATTTCGCAATTTCAATGTTAAAATGTAAAGGAAGTGTATTTCCTGCGTGCATAACGGAGCGGTGGTACAAAAGAATTCAAGCTGCACGCTCTTAACCTATTTCAGCCTCTACCAGTGGTTGTCGATCTTTCTCGCGAGACGTATAACCACGATAAAATTGTTTGAGAAATTTACGAGAAGCGAGAAGGTAAATGGCCGTCGAACTTGCAAACCAGTTGGTGAGCGAAGGAAGGTGTGCGCCGGGCGAAAGAGGCGGAAGAAGGGAGGAAAAGCGAAAGAAACTTGGCGAGAAGGGCGTGCTTTGTAACCAATATAAATTCATTCTATTATACGACGCGTACTTCAGAGCTGCCCGTAACACGCGGTGGCTCGATGAATTACAAATGGAACAGGCGGTCAAAGTGTCACGTTAAATTTCCATAGGCATCCACTTAACTCTAGCCTCGACTGACTGGTTCACTCGACTCTGCTATTTCATTATCGGATGCATAGTGCATAGTTATGTACCGGTTAATCGGACAACAGCGAATTCTCTCTGGGAGCTGTTGAAATCAAAAATGGTGGAGACCGGGAAATCGGATCGATACAAATTGGTCGATTAAATTTACAAAATGCGCGTAACTACACGCGTGAAATATCAGAAGTAACAATTGGTCGTTGAGCATCCATGGATCTTGAATTATCCACAAAATCCACAATTTTTCTACACGTTAATAACGTGGCCGGTAGTTCATCAGTTATTCAAGCAAATTAGTCCACTAATACACGTTGAATTGCGTTAATAGACAGGATATAATGTGCATTCCAGGGAAACATAATTGCGGCTTATATACGGCATTACAGCGGTCTATCTGGTATGCGCGCATATCTAACAAATTTTGCAAATCAATGTCCCGTGGAAAGGAAGTCTAGTGCAAATAAAATATGATTCGTTCCGTTTGAAGTTTGAAAGACAAAATCTGAAACAAACAGGCGCCGATATAATTATTACGTTTGATTCTTCAAAAATCGAACGATTAAATAATCAATCGAACGAATTGTTCCTCTTCGATATTCGAAAACAATCGATTTGGGGGGGGG